ACGGAGCTGGGGCAGGGTCTGGAGCACAGGTCTGCTGGGGAGCGGCTGGGGGAACTGGGGGGGTTCAGTCTGGAGAAGAGGAGGCTGAGGGGAGACCTCCTGGCCCTCGGCAACTCCCTGCCAGGAGGGGGCAGAGAGGGGGGATGAGTCTCTGGAGCCAAGGCCCCAGCGCCAGGCCCCGAGGGAATGGCCTCAAGCTGCCCAGGGCAGGGTCAGGCTGGCTCTGAGGAAGGATTTCTGTGCAGAAGGGGCTGTTGGGCGTTGGAATGGGCTGCCCAGGGCAGGGGGGAGTCCCCGGGATCCCTGGAGGGGTTGAAGAGTCAGGCTGAGCCAGCGCTGAGGGATCTGAGGGAGGGTCACGGTTGGGCTGGAGGAGCTGCAGGGGCTTTTCCAACCTTGATCAATCTGACTCTGTATGCCCCCGAAGAGAGGCTAAAAGAGCCGCTGCTCTGCCAGAAGCAGGCACTGGCCACCACACATCTACTACTGAGGTGGTTTTGGAGCTCCCCCACAGCTGGGAGCTGCCAGAGGTCATCTCCCATCTAGGATGTTTGCCCCAGGTCAAGAGGAAGCTCTTTACCTGCATTCACTGTTCCCCTGCAAGCCCTGCTGAGATGGGAGGAGCCTAGGAACAGAAAGAGTTACCACTTCACTCTCAGGAAGAGCTGCCTCACTTGGCACCCAATTCAAAATCCTCCTGCCCCTGAAACCTCTTAGACAGTCTGAGAACCGAGAATTCCAGCCCCGCTGGGAACTAGCACCAACATTGTCAGTTATGTTATTCCCCACCTACAAGCACAACTATGTTATTCAGAGGCAAAGAACTTTGCTGCTATAGACACAAGGAACACTTCAATGCTGGTATGTAGACTCTAGACAAGTTTCAGGGAGGTTTTTCCCCCCACCACAGAACTGGCAAGGAAAAGGGCACTCCTTTGTGTGAGCTGCAGCTTGTAAAAATCCAAGTTTATGTTTCTTAAAATTATGAAAGCAGCTGGTTTTGTTTCATCTGCTCGCCTGTATAGAATGCAGAGGCAAAAAGCAAAAACCTACCTGGGCACTGCTAAGGGGCCTTGGTTTGAATGATGCAGATGATGTTTGACCATCTGCTTTTTAGCGTTTGGGGTAGCACCAGATTTTTCTTTGAAGGAGCCCGAGCTCAAATTCTTTAGTCCGCAGTTCCTGAAAAAGAATTCTGTGTCTTGCCATGTGTCCACAAACCATTCACCAAGTGATCTCAACGGCTTTTTTACACTTAAAACCCCCACCACTTTGCATCACTGCTACCCCAAAAAAGAAAGGGCAGCAGGCCTGCGGAGATCTTTAAAGCCAGGTCTCCCAACCGCCTACCTTCCTCCTTACCCACTGGCCCATTCTACCTCCCTCCCTAGGAGCATCACATTTAAAGTCTGTTGCTTGACAGCAGCTCTTCCTGCACACACATACACACAAAAAGACTTACGTTTTTACAGATCTCTTCTGAAGATCTTGGATATAGTTGGTTCTCTCTATAGGATGCCCTCGAGCCCTGTTGAACACTGGAGAGATACAGGTCTGTGTTACAACAACGGTCTGTACAAATCATCTTGGGGGCTGCAGAGAAATTAAACCCTTTAGAAGGATTTGAGTACTTCCCCACTCAGGTCACGTAGGGTGATTCCACTCAGCGTACTACCCTTTACACCACAGCCCGTGACAAGGCAGACATGCAGGCAGAGCTGCAGCACAGCACTATCTGATCTGCACTTACTGCCCCCCACGTTCACTCAACCCTCATTAGCTCCACAGTCAGGCCATAAACTTAATTCCTTCTTTCCAATTACCTGAAAGAACCCCCGACACCTCCCCTCCTCCCCTCCCATTCCGCATGACAGGAAAAAACACACACGCAACTAAAAGAGTTACTAAAACCACAAGCCCATGATAAACATTTTGCATCCAAACAAGAACATACACATACATACACTCTATCGCAGTATTTGGCTCCATGCCTTCAACATCAATCAGGTACCTGAAGAGACAAGCAAGAAAGCTCTAATTATACAATTAACCATGGAAACACTGTCAGGTTAGTGACAATTCAAAGAGAAAGAGTAACTGGGAAGTTTTCAGTGCTTCTATTTATAAGACAAAATGGAGTATCAGCATATGGTCTGCTGAAATTGAGGATAAAAAGTATCCCCTAGCAACAACCTTCTCAAAGCTAAAAAGCTTCAAATCCTTGCAAGTCTGGGATTACGCAGATCACTTGACTCTTGTTTTACTGGTGCAACACAATTTCCTCCTGGAGTAACAAGAAGCTGGTGACAACGCTCTGTACAAGTCATCTTTGGGGCTGCAGAGCACTAAAACCCTTCAGAAAGATTTTAACTCAGTTTACTAAGGACAACTCACCTACAAACCAGGTAGCCAGTTCTGTTCAAGCCATGCGTGCAATGAACTCCGATGAGTTTATCTGCAACACACAACAATGGGGTTATATTTAAGTGCTCTTTCTCCAAAATCCCGCCAGAACAAGTCCATTTGCATTCACCCTCCAACAGCGACACCAGTGTCAATCAAGAGAAACGACCACGCAACACCACCACCACATTTATGTCTAATTAGCACCACCAATTCAGCTCACTAACTCGTTTAGGTCTGTGAGCTCATCTGTGTGGTCACACAGCTCACTGCAAGGAAGATGTATTTAAATGCTCCACAAAAGGGTATCTTCCAGTTCCCGAGCACTGACAGCTCGCTGCTTACACCGCTACCAAAATGCAATCGGTATTTACAGCCAGTCTACAAATGGAGTCTCAAACTCAATTAAAGCTTGACTTACCACCAAATTATCAGCCAGCCAGCATGAATTCCTTTAGCAGAACAAACCGATCTTATTGCCTTGACATTCACATGCCAAGAGAAGGAAAAGAAATTTACGCTGTTCATTAAGACATCACCAGCCTCCAAGTCTGCAGTACCCTTCCCAACGGCAGCAACATAAGGGAAATCCACACTCACCATTATCTTTGTTGTCCCTCAAAAACTTTTTTACAACGCATTTGAACTGAAAAATGGTGTGCCTGTTTGGTATTTCATGGCCCATTGTCGAGATCTTGGAGTAGCAGAGTGTGTCTGGGAGCTCCTACAAGAAAAGAAGTCAGTAATTTCCAGAAAAAGCACAAGGATTCTTATCAATTAGAGAACCATAAGCCAGAAGAAGTCAAGCTTTTCAACTAAGCCCAAAAGAGCAGCAACACAGTTTTAGGCAACAAAATTTCTGCTTCACTCCCTCGACATAGCACTAATATTCCAAAGCAGCCTGTTGGCATTTTTGCTTCTCGTGCCTTTGCCCTTTCCTCCCTGGGGAAGATGAAGCACATGCCGAGCCTGGAACACCTTTCTAAGCAATTACCCACACATTTGATACCACAAGCCAAAGGTGGCTGTAATAAGCTTTAGACTCAGGAGAGTCTATAGGGTATCCCAAAACTTGTGCTGGTTGGTACAAAGAGGATCTGCAGGATGAGAGGTTGAAAACCCAGGCCTGTACTCGACCAGGGACAAAGACCCCACCCCAACGGGTCTGCAATGCTTCCCCTCATCCCTCTGCCAGAGGATGCGAGGGCCTCACAACCTTTAAAGTTATCTACCTGCAAGAAACATCTGCCACTTGATCAGCAACCAGGGCTTACACAGAGCTTAATTTCCACAACAGTAAAAGGAAGACTGACCTCTGGCCTGTAGTAGCGAGTTGTGTATGTCAGGTCAATGATCAGCCCCAGTTCTTCCTTCTGCTCTTTGATTTTCTTGATGAGGTCACAAGGTGAAAATCTCTCCTCTGGATGAAGTTTCTGATCAAAGCTCTGGGGAGACGTAATATTTAAGACATTAGACTCGAGTGCGATGTGACTGGTGGGAAGAGGTTCATGCTCCAAAACCTCCCAAAAGCCATCCCTTAAAAAACACACAGGCAACAAGGAAAGGTAGACATGGACCGACACACAAGTTACACCGAGCCAAGCCAGAACGTGCTCAGGCAGTCAGTGTTTTAGGACTGTTCAGCTGAGGGTTTCCAGCAGCACCTGAAGACTTCACACTGTGGCAGAACACTGCAATGTGACAAACATGCCCGGGAACTAAACCTTTCCTTTGGTGAAAACTATAAGATAGGCTTGCAGCTCAAATGGAGGTGAGCAAACAGCGCTGCAACCCCCCCAGATGTCTGAGGCATAACTGCTGTGCTTAAACCGCTCCAGAGCGAAGCTCACCCCAGTACACAGCTGTGTGCCTTCAGGTACAGCAGGGCGGGCAGCTTGTGCATCAGTGGCACTGCCACAACAGCCCCTCACAGCCCCTGCTCCTGGAACTCGGCTCTGGCACCATGTTCATCAGGCTGCAAGGCATCTGGGCACCTGGCAGTGCTGGGGGGGGCTTCCCACAGCGTCCCTCCTGCCCTAGGAGGGCTGGCCTGGACAGAGCTCCCTGTATCTAGGATACCTGGCTGGAGCTGCCGCCACCCAGAAAACTGCCAAGGACCCCCAGAAGCCATTCCTGGCCAACTCCATGGTGTGAAGGCCACTGGAATCCTGTCAGCTGCTCTGACTGTACAAAGAGCAACAATTGCACTGTGCTTCCCTCCCCCAAGTTATAACCCACTCACCAAAAATAAACAACAGAACGACCTACTGACACTTCCTCATTTTTTGGGAAGGATTCTTTGCAAAGTGACGCTTTCCCACAGCCACTTTCCACCCCAAACGGCCCCACAGCATTGGCGGGCACTTACCTTCTTCAGGGGGACCTTGAAGGCGATGAAGCGGGTGCCCGGCATCCTCCTACCCAGCGGGACGTAGTCGGTCCACCTAAACCCCGCAGCACCGAGGCGTTAAACCGCTGACCCGGGGATCCGGCGCCGTGCTCCCCTTGGCCCCGGGACCCTCACTCCCTCCCCTCAACCCGCGACGTCCCCCAAGCTTTAAGCTACGGCTCGCCGCTGCCCGGG